GGAAGATGTCAATTATATATAACAGGTTTTGCCCTTACCCAACGTATATCAATAAGCATTGAAAGCTTACTCGGGTGGGACTCGAACCCACGACCCACGAGCACTGAGCATACAGTGTTTATTAATATACGTTGGGTAAGGGCAAACCCGTTATATATAATTAACATCTTCCCAACGCTAAAATACATCTTGAAAAAAAGATAAGACAATACAATTAAGTACTAAATACATGTTTATACAATAACAACATTATTAGTTATCACACAAGTGCAAGTGGAACATCTTTAAGCAAACTTGACATGCAGTAAAGATGCTATAAGGACCTTTGTGCGCAAACACACACACAGGTTTGTTGAATTTACAGTAAATTTTGAAGTTGTGCATTTGCTTTTAATGTAAAAATAACACATTGCAGAGTTGGAACAGCGCATTACGTAGGGTTTGACATGGACCGTGCAATACGGTTACATGTCACACTGTTTGTTGCCATTGATCAAATAATCAGAATTAAGAAATTCAAGTTTGCCTGAAGATACCAACATATACAGAACACAAACACAAAAAGGCTAAATATTTATTTACAAATTGATACGTGTAGTGTTACCCCTAGAACATTCATGTACAACATAGTTGTGATGACATTGGTATGTTAAAAATACTATTAGCAAAGCACTTTTTTATTTCACAATGAACTTCCAACACTACCGGTAGTTTTATTAAATTTCAACTGAGATTGTAATCATAATTATTAAAAATCATAAACAAATTGCATAAATATGCCATATATATGGCATACCGTATTTATACATGTACATGCTTCATACAACGTTGGGCATGATATGTAAAATCTGAAAAAATCCTTATTTAAATGCTGAATGTTTAAGTTTACTTTATCAGGGATGCTGCTGTAATGAGAACCTTGACTGGTTAGAAGGGTCAGTCAGCAGAAAAAGTTTTACTAACTAGTAAGGCAGGTCACGACTGAATGTGTGAAATTGTCATTTTCAACCACGCTAACCCCACTGATATGTAAACATTTTAAAACAAGTATTCTCTGCATACATGTACATGTACATAGACTGATTTTGTGAACAACAAAATATAAAAGACTTTAATTTATTGAGATGACAAGTGAGGGTCAGAAAAGTGGCATCAAGATGGACACACACACTCCCACATCTAGATGCATTTAAAACATGACAGGTTCTCAATGCACTTAATTAAGAAATGTAACAATTTCAAGCACTTTAGTTAAAAGTCTGACACTGTAGGGATGCATTACAATTCAACCTGTGCTGAACACATGCTAAGCTGGTACGGACAGCTGTGATACTGCCAAGTTGCTCAGTGTGAGACACTTTGGGTGGTGCTGCTGCTGCTAAAACTTCTCGATCCAAGACTTTGATGTCCGAGACGAAGACCAGTACATTTGAGACTGAGACCAGTCCTCCTGATACCAAGTCTTTGGAAGGACAAGACCCAGACCAAGACCACAAAAAAGGTCTCAAAACAATCTTGAGACTGAAATTAGGTTTGGTAAAAATACTGATAAAAATATAAAAAATGTAACACAAAGATACATCTGATGGTCTAAAAGATTGGGCATGTCTTTTGTTCTGCTCAACTTAAGGAATCAGATACATGTATACTGTATATGTTCTAACTTGACGCTTCAAAGACTAAAATTCAACTATTCAATTCTGGTATTCAAAACTACTTCTAGTGTAACAGCCTACTTCTGTGTAACACTGTGTGATAGCTTCAGACCACAAGTGTTGAAACTGATGCTGCTGGGAAAGGTGCAGAAGCTACATGTAACTCGTTTTCTCTATCCAAATCAAATCAAAATACACATTTGGGTAAATACAAAATACTTGTATTGAAATAGCCCTCAAAATGACCAGAACCACCCAATGTTACTAGTACTGGTAGTTTTACCCAAGTAAAGCCTGGTTTCCATATCGTTGTTTATGACACATATGGTCCACAAGACGTGAAGATGCAGACAGGAATAGGAGAGACAGTACATGACGTCATTCCAACCAAAAATTGAAACAAAATTCTGCAATTTTTTGTGGAAAATACCCTTTTACATTGACTGTACTGCCTCATGATGCCAACCTGTACTCTAGTTTCATGCATTTCACTGATGGTCAGCTATTTAGTTGATCATAAGGGTGTAATATTTAAGCATTAAAGAGAAAATGGGCAAAATTTGTGAAACTAAGTGAGAGGGACATCGTTTCACAAAGGTCATGCCAGCATAGAGTGGATATGTACATGTTTGTACGAGGATACCACAGTTACCAGTACTCAACGAAGACAGTCAGCAAAGTTGAACCGGGCTCAACTTTGCCGATCTGTCCGGAGCTGATTCGTGTTTGTGTTGTCGGCGGTACCTCCATTTGGCATACATGTACATGTTGCCACATGTCCGCATTGTAGTTTGTGTCTTGTTTGCATTGCTCTCTGCGTTTCTTAAGTCGATATAGAAACCAGGCTCAATACTGGTCTGAAATTGAGTGATGAAGCAGGCATGCATACATACATGAGCAATGAGCAAGAAGGGACTTAGCAGCAAGACCTCAATTACTCTTGGTAATCAGAGAAGTGCCAGTGGGCTGTATATCTAAGGGCTGAGATGTCAAAGGCTCAGTGGGCAGGTCAGAGGTTACCAAGACTTCAGCCTACATGATGTATGGGGGCAAATCAAAAACACAAGACACAGGCAGGGTTAGCAAGCAAACACATAAGCAAATTAAGAGTGAGTGATGCAAATAAATGGATCAAAATGGGATGTTAAAGATTATATTGTACATGGATACATTACGGAAGCCTATTATTAACACTTGTGATTCAGTATGGCAATGACATGATGACTGACATCAAGTACATGAATTGGACAAAAGTATCTCGGTCATAAGCTCTCTTCTCAAATAAAATTTTACAAAAGTTCTCAAAGAGACACTTTACTGCAATCAACAAATTACTGGTATTACATGTATATGTATATCACGATTAGTGTGCCAAACACCACAAAAGGCTTCATGAAAGGGTGAAAACCTTTTCATCAAACCACAAGTAACATTTGGGAGAATTCGGAGATTTATACAAGTAGTACATGTATTTCATTTATACCGGTACAGAAACTACATGTACATGTAGGTAGATTGTCCAATGTTCGGCATCAAAATACATGTACTATTAACAAGAAGCGATGTGTAAATCTACATGTATGTATACCAAGCAAGCATGGTACTACACAATCATTGACAAGTAGCAAATGAAGTTCAATCGTACCTATTCAGCCCCAGTTCATCATAGCGTTAATTTGGGTGAGTGGATGGTTCAACCTCACTGGTTTCTACCGCTACTCACACAGCATGTACGCACAAACAGTGGAATGACAGCGACACATTTCTGATGCACACATTACAAGGCTGGCTCTGGGCCAGCTTATAGTGTTTCATACACAACTGTATTGTTTTGTACCTTGGAGTTGGAAATCATAAAATCTTAGTCTCGATCGTACAGTCATAAACGGACTAATCAAATCATATAAAATATGCCTAAATCATACAAGTTGGCATCTCTGGGTATTTCACAACGTCACTGGTCCAAGTTTTGAATAAAGCTATCTTGCTGGATACTAACACCAATGAAGCAAGTTCATGTCTTTTACCAGTTTCAAATAAGGCAACTGCAGCTTTGACCAGAAGCAAGGGTCCAGTACTTTTTTGTGCAAAACAAAAAATGATGACCTAAATTGTTCTATATTTTGCCCAAAAAAGCAATATGATAGATTTTTATATAAATTTAAACAATTCAAAATGTCAATTTCAAATGCTTGTAATTTGACAACTGATAACGCCATCATGACATCAACCTGTAGGAACTAGGCACACCTTGGGATCAGGGTTGACATTCATACCAATTTTCAATATCATGCATTGTACCATGTTGAAAAAAATGACCTGGAGAAGTATAGTCTAGAACAATAGAGGAGGAGGGGAAAAAGATGGAACTGTACAATTTCAAAAAGATGATCTTTAAGTTTCTTTATTTCAGTAGATTGCTAATGTAGATTGCTACATGTATAATCAAATATTGTACCGGTCACCAAGTAAGTGGAACATCAACCTCTCTTAAATTGGTTCTACTTTCTGGTAACATTTGGAGCTTCTTTTGCATATAGATTCATGATTGCTTTATTTAGGGTTCACATTTGTACGGAATATCAACATTTGTAGGTGTGCGGCAAAAGTAACATCACAAATGCGTCATCAAGCATCATCAAGTGTTAAGAATAGCAGGGGTGTTAGCATACACACGATACAAATTGCAATATCCAAATGAAAGTGTAAAGGCCCCGTGTACACATGATTACAATGATCCTGGTTGCACAAACAAGAAATCAAACAGGTTTATGGGCTTTAACTCAAGATACAAAGTGAGGCAAAATAAACCAGTTTTAAAAGAATGCTGCTATTCCAAAAGACAACATTCAAAGCATGCAAAGGTAAAGAAACTTATAAGGATTACACTTACAGCAAGGTTGGTACCGGTAGGTGCAGCTGTACCATATGAATGCAGAGGGCGTGTTGGACTGGACGTGACTACAGCAGGTTCACTGGGAGCAACAAATCCCCTACGGTCTATCAAGCTGATCAAGATAACATGTATCCCATTAGGATTGTACAGCCATGGTTTGTTAGTGTGGAATCAAACATATATGTAAATGTACATGTATGCCTAGGCTATGTTTATAATGTAGGCACTCATAACGAAGCTAAAATACTGCAATTGTTGAAGAGTCACCTGTAATGACCTAAGGGAAATATTCCCTTTCATGAGGAGGTAAGGATCTGAGGGTTCATTTAGGCAAAACTGTCTTGGACACAAACTGGACTTGTGATTTTTCTGACCTGATCGCATCACTGACACTGCACTGTCAGACGGAAACTAACATCTTTTGCATGTCGTGCAACTTAAACTGGGGTCTATCTATACTGGGTATATAATATTATTCCATTTTTATATCATTTTCCAATCAGTATTACCTATCTCAACTTTTTAATCACATTGAGATACCAAATATCTTAACACTGAAAATCATGTTGAAAATATTGAACGAAATTTAAGCCATTTCCAAAGTGAATAGTCAGAATTTTTTATGTGGTTGTTACATAGCTTTAATATTAAGTACAAGGTTGTGACAAATTGTTTCAAAGACCAACTTCTGTGTGTTTTGTTTTGCTTGTGTCCCCGGTGGTAATCGGCTTGCTCTCAATGCCCCAAACCCTCTTATACGGTTTCAAAACAAGGCTGGATTATTACTACTTTTGAGAGTGAAAAATGTCGATAATTCCAAGCAGCCTGGTCTTTTGTTCGGAGTACAGTCTTTTGTTACAGGGCCCCGGTTCCTTTGTCCGAGTTCAGAGACCCCGGCCATGCATATAAACCATACGTCTCTGATTCCGAAGTCCCCGGCAGGAAGTTGTTAATGTCTCATGATTTGTCACCTGATGACGTCATCATCACACCCGGTATTTTTTGTGTCTGAGGCACTCCCCTTCTAAGGTATCTGCAATGTTTGAACCCAATTGGACATGTACTTCACGAGATATAGTGCTTTGAAAAGTGCAGCTTTAATGTCACGTGACTTGTCAAAAGATGACAGTATCATCATATCAGGTTAAGTTTTGCCTGAAGTATCCCCCTTCTAAATTGGTGGCCAAAGAGCATGCCATTCTGGCAGTTGAAATTGTGTACAAAACACATGTGGGGAAAAATTAAATATTCAAAATTCGATTAAAAAAAGGTAATGACGTCATGATGACGTCATGATTCATTGGGCATACATCCTTGGTCGGTAGTCTAACAATAGGCCAGATTTGAAATAAATTGGTGGCCAAAGAGCATGCCATTCTGGCAGTTGAAAAACATGTACAAAACATATGGGGAAAAATTAAATGTTCACAATTCTATAATAAATCAGGTGACGATGTCATGATGATGTCATAATTCGGCATACGTCCTCAGGTGGCTGTCTAACAATGTGCCAGGTTTGAAGTAAATTGGCCTAAAGTAAGGACAGAAAGTGGTGTGTAGAACGACCCCGTGTTATGTCAGTAGCAAAAATTTGAAAAAGAAGAAAAAAAAGGAACAGAAAAAACGTAAGAAAAACAATAGCTGTTTTGGCCGGAGACGGAAAGAGCTAAAGAAAAAGAAAACTGAACAAAAAAATGCCTTTTTTGCAAGTTGCAAAAAAGCCCCCTCCCCCAAAAAAACAGAAGAAAGAGAATGACATTTTTTGCAAAATTGTGTAAAAACCAAAGATGAGAGGTCATCTGTCTGTTGACCAACAGAACAGAGGGCTTTTTTCGCATCCCTTTCTTAAGTTGAACAACCAATCTACTGCACAAACTTGATGGCGTAAATCTTTCATTATGACCATTTGGGTCCAAGGTTTCCACCCAATCAGGCATGTATTTCAGGAAATAACAGGCTTTAAATAAAATGTAATTTGACTCCTCGTCTGATGATGTCATCATCACATCAGGTACATTTTCATCTAGAACACTTCCTTTCCTTGTTATCTGCAACATTTGAAATCAATGGGATACGTACCGACATCTACTTCAGGAGATATAGGGCCCTAGAGAGTGTGCCTTTAATGTCACATGACTTGCCTCCTGATGAGGTCATCATCATACGATATTCCTCTAAAGCACTCCCTTTTCAAGATATCATTTAAGATTTGAACCTGATCGGATATGTACTTCAGGAGACATAAGGCCCTATAGAGTACACCTTTAATGTCAGGTGACTTGTCTCCTGATGACGTCATCATCACATAAGGTCAACTTCTGTCTGTAACACTTCCCTTTCTAGTTATCTGCAAAATTTCAACGAGATAGGATATGTCCTTTAGGAGATGTAAGGCTTTGAAGATTTAATGTCAACTCACGTGACATATACATGTAATGACGTCATTGTGATGATTTTCTTCTTGGACCTTCTCTAGCTCGTGGTCCAAAAGCAAACATTTACTATATAACCAGTCAGACCTATAAGAGTATCGAAATCTGGATGAGAAAATGTGTACAAAACATACAGGGAAAATAAAATATTCAAAACTCAATATAAAATAAGGAGATGACGTCATCATGACATCATAAATTAGGCAATGGTTTTGAATCCTGGTCTTCACCGGCTGTAACTTTGATGACGATTGAGTATCACAAAGTTACCCAAATGGTGCCTTAAAATGTGTACAAAGTCAATGGGCTAAAATAAATATGTAAAAATCGATAATAAATCACTTGATGTTGTCATCATGACGTCATGTTTCTAGGACCATCTATGCACAAGGGTTGTTCACTGGTGCAAGTTTGATGATGATCCAAAGTTGCAAAAGGACTAAAGCCACGGCGACAATAAATGTGTACAAAACAATGGGGCTTTTGAGCAGAAGAAAGAGGAAGAAAAAACAGAAAAAAACAATGCCTTCTTCGCAAAATGCAAAAAAGCAAAAAAAAAAACCGAAAACTGCCTTTTTCGCAAATTGCGGAAAAAGCCAAAATCAAGAGCTTTTATGTCTGTTTGCAATAGAACATAGGGCTTTTTCGCTTTTTATTGAAAATGTCATCGTCATGATTGCATATCTGCGAAGTTTCATCCACTGGGACATATACTATTGGAGATATAGGGGCTGTAAATGATGCAAATTTTATGTCACATGACTTTTCAACTGATGATGTCATCATTCCATGAGGTCAATATTTGTCAATCACACATCCCCTTCAAGATACTTGTATATGCAAGGTTTCAACCCTCTGAGAGCTTTATTTTGGGAGATATACCGTAGGGGTTGAAAGGATGCACCTTTAATGTCAAGTGACTTGTCAACTGATGACGTCATCATCCCATGAGGTCAATTTTCGTCTATCACACATCCCTTTCAAGAAATATGTGTAGTTTCAGCCTGCAGGGACATGTACTTGAAGCGGTATTTAAATCATCTTTAATGTCACTTGACACGATCATCTGATGATGTCATTATTACACATGAATTTTCATCTAAACACTTCCATTTATAAATACACTGTACCTGCTGAGTTTCAATCTAATTGGACATGCACTTCAGAAGACACAACACTTTAAAGAATCCACTTTTAATGTCACATGACTTGTCAACTGATGACATCATCATCCCATGAAGTCAATTCCGTCTATCAAACATTCTCCTCTATACATGTATATCTGCAAAGTTTTATCTCAATGGAATATTTACTTCGAAAGATATAGGGCTTCAAAGTTTGCACATTAAGTGCCAAGAAAGGCTGTGTACAAAAGAAACAGGACTTGGGAGAGAAGAACAGCAAGGACAAACAGAAAAAAAATCCTGACTCTAAAGAGAATGCCTTTTTTGCAAAATGTGAAAAAGCCAAAAACAGGACAAAAAGAATGTCATTTTCACAAAGTTGTGAAAATGCCAATAAAAAAGAACAAAAAGAATGTCTTTTTCGCAAAATTGCAAAAAAGCTAAAACAGAACAAAAAGAATACCTTTTTTTGCAAAATACAGAACAGAAGTAATGCCTTTTTGCAAAATGCCCAATAAATCCAAGCCCCAGAATGATTGACACCTTGACTCCAGAACCAACTGGAATGTAACACATTTTAGGTACGTCTAGTCTCCACTGGCGCTGATCAGGAAGCTGTTCATGAAGGACTCAGCTGTTATGCATGTTGGCCTATCACCAGTCTTGTTTTAATTACAGAAACCTACAGTAAAGATGGCATACAGTGGCAAGACAACATGCACTCTCTGCGGACACCTGAGGCTTATTGTACAACAGCATTTTGCTGTTATCGTCACCATGGTAACACATCTGCCTAGGAAATATATTTGTTCACCCTATTGTGAGAAAACACTGGTAGTTATAGTCATTTGGCTGTCCATAAACAATGCTGTGCATGCTGTATGAAAAGCTGGCCCTGTGTAATACATGCACATTCTCAATGCACGTTTCACAGCACTGCTCTGAAGGAACTGTGATTTAAAACATCACTTTTCAACAAGTATAATTTGCCTCATTAGGAAAACAAACTGACACAGTCAAGTTCTTCAGCAACAAAAGAGGCTGCACCAATCGACAGCAAATATTGGGCTCGACTAGTTTATTTTGTCTTGAAATATGGAGTTACATGTACTATTCCTCAGGCCAAGCCACAAAGGGCCTTAGCCATGAAAATATAAGCATGGTACGCGAAACGTACCTAAGAAATTTATGTCTTTACATGTACATTAACAACTTATTACTTGTACAGTGCACATAAATGGTTAAAGTACAATCATTATTCATTTGGGCTTCCTTCATGTCAGAGGACATCTTTTACCTTGTTTTGTAAATAAGACAAAATTGATACATCAAAAAATATCACTTGCCTTGGTGTGAAAGGACCACATATTGTCATGCAGCAATTACTGATAACAGAGCCATGGCTGTACGGATTGAAAGTTGCCTGTGATCGCTTCGATGACCATGTGCCTTTTATCTACACAGGATAAATCAAGATATATGTAGACTAAATGGTGGCATCCCTGAAAAATTAAGTGTCTCATGAGAGACATCAGTTGAAAGCATCTTGCACTTGATAAGTATTACTTTTGTCCATCCATGAGGAAGGAAATGCATGACCATGTTAGCTGATGCATTTGTCAATTCACTGATTACAGAAGTAAGTCCAGATTACACTGAACATACAATGCATGTGTCCCGACATTATTTTTAAATAGAACACCAAATAATTTTATAATTCTGGGAGAAACATTGTACAGGTACCTATTTTGTAATATGTGAAAAACATGAATAAAGAACCTGAAAGATGTTACTTACATCTTCATTTGTAGTCTGGCTAGAAGCCACCAAATATGTATGGAAGCCGGCAAGTCCAAGTACAGACCAGATGGAGACGAAGCAGATTAACGCTTCAATTATAGTGCACATTAAGTCAAGGAGAAATCCAACAATATGCAGTGTACAGTTTATGGAAGGAGAATGGGACAAGTAGAAAGGCATGAAACAAAACCAGATCTAAAAAATCAACATTTCTACGAATCAATTTGAGGCTTTTCTGCATTATGTAAGAAAAAAGAGTAGAAAGCACTGAATTGAATAATTCAATGAATTTGACAGGAGGTAGCAGCTACAATGAATGGCATCCAAAAGATAGGACAGTCACTAACAAAATTGTTTTGAGAATGGGGGCTAAACCATGACTGCAGTCACTTGTTTAAACTAACTTTGGAATCTGAGATTTGCTACCGTACATGTGTACATTTGTAGCCCATATTTATAAATTATGAATAAGCCTTTTTGTGAGCTAAATTTGAATAAAATTTGGTTCATTGAATTCTTTCAATTCTTGTGAACGTAACAGTTTGAATCACAATGTTGTCATACCCCGTGATTTGAGGCAAGATTTTGCTCAGTTACATAAGAGACGCCTTCCACCAATACACTATTTTCAATGGATAAGAAGGGCACAAAGGAACCAGTCCATTCCAGAGATAGTGGTCGCTGTGCAAAAACTAGGTGTAATAATGTCTTCAGTCTGGGGAATTCAAATTATGTTTATGTGTGATCAGATAACTGTGTACCTGATTTTATTCAAATTTAACTTACCAAAAGCTTATTGGAGTCATTGGTTCAGACGTACCAGGACAAGTAAAAGTGTCACATTAGAGAGTAGGTTACAATGACATCATTTGACTGGAGATTAAACCGAAAAGACCTTTAAATCATTGAAAATCACTAAAAAAAATCAATCCTGACAGCTACAGGCTGTAGTTACTCATTAAAAACTAGAGTAATTATCTTAATCCACTTTGCAAGGTGTTTGGCTCCCTTCATTATTTGTACATTCATTGCGTCACAAATGAAAAAAATTGAAATCCACTGGTAATGCCGGCAACACGGCCCGTAAGGGTAAGAACCGTAGTGGGGAGAGCCATTTCCTCTGCACGTGTAACACATAAAAATTGAGCCACACTGTTTCGGGAATCTGGCAAGTTTTGCATATCGGGTCCTGCATATACTGTGTGTATTAAATTCTAAACTGAGGACTTTAAGGCAGCAGTTCGATTCCCGCCCTTTCGACCAAATTGTTTTTTTTCCAACAGAACGATTTCCCCGAAACAGCTCAGTGTTTGTCTTCTGACAAATACAACATTCATCTTGTTAGTTCATTTGTTACCAGTATGGATTTAAACTAAAAAATTTAAATCAAGTAATTTGATTGAAAATCAAAACCACCTAAAATAAATGTACTTTCTCAGCCCTGGCAAAATGTGTGCATCTAATACCCAACGGGTGAAGGTACAAACTTTAGTCTACAATACAAAATGCTGGTATTTTACCTTGCTCCAATGTGTGCAAAGAGCAGTCTCGTTGCAATAGGGTATTTTCGATCCAGCTCTGTTGGGGCTAGTAGAGTAGTGCCTTAGGCTTGATTAAAACTTACTCTATTGAGAACATTTTGTTGCTCGTTTTGGTTTCACTTCATAATGACCAAGATTTCTAATCTCAATAAAATACATGTGCACTGTAGAGAATAAGCAGTACACTGATACTTCACCATGTAAAATTAAATAATGATTATAAATCCTCACATGAAATTTATGTACTGAGTCCAAAGCAAAGTGGCTAAAACTGAACAAAAAGTCCTGCCAACCCAAATTGGGTGACACATGCATTCACACTTATTGTCAATACTAAGAACTGAAGGGCTCACAGAAGGATATTAGCTATTTAAAATGTGCAAAATCTGGAAACATTACAAATCAATTGAACAAAATTGAACATTTTGCACTTTTCCAAAAAGTTGATTTTAACGGAACATTTCCACACCAACTGTAACTTCACTGAAACAGAACATTATTATTACTATGGAAATAATGAAAGCAAGCTAAGGTTATCTGGCAATACAAAGTAATTGGCAAAGGATATCTGGCAGGAGTTTTTTTCAAAGCTTCTAGAAATCCTCCTTCCTGGTTGCTCACTGCAAAAAAAAAAAGATCATGAGATCTTACTTAATGCTATTACTACTGAAACATAAAGTTCTGCCTCAGGTAAGTACGCAGTAATCTCCTTTTTCAGTAAATACATTTAAATGTACATATATGAACAGTGGCTAATGCATCTGCTAAAATCTCCCCCCCCCACCTAGAGTGAGAAAAGTCTACTACTACATACCAGATTACCAATACTTATGTACAATTTCCTAGTCCATTGCTTCCATTCGCCATTAAAATTCTCGATCACAGTAGTGCACCCTTGCTCGCTCGACTCCTGCAGAGGTAACCGTCATGTTCTTCCTTTTTAAAGTGTTGCAATGCCAAGTGAGGAGGGAGGGAGATTGGTAATCTGGTATACATGTATGTAGGTATGCAGTAGTAGACTCAACCCACTCGGGGGGGTCTACTCCCTGCAACCTATGCAGATTACCAATACATATACAGAGTAGCAACAAACCAGAGGACGGTGGGAAGGCAAGAGCATACTGTAAACCCCAAGCCCCCAGGAGGAGTTACATACAACCTGTAACCAACAAGGAAAGGAAGATTAGTAATGTATCAGAAGTGGTAGCCTAAAAAACTCACCATGCAACTACATGGGGAAGGATGGCCGTAATTACAGCTACTGAGATCTGGTCTTAAGCACAGCCAGTACATGAGAATGATCCCCCTGCAAAACATCACTGAGATAAATGTTGAGGGGGATTTCCGACATGCAGAGTTAAAAATGTCTGAAATTGGGATGCCATTAAAATAAGCCAAGGAGGATGTAACGGCCCGAACGTCGTGAGCACGTACCAGTATATGAGATCACCCACCTGGCAAGAGTGTCTCTGAAGGCTGGACGATGAGGCTTGGTAGAGGCAAGGAGCAATTGAGTCACTTGCCCTCGGATGTCGTTAGTCTGGTGGAGGTACCATTAGAGCATCCGAACGGGCACCAGAGTTTATCAGAGGCAGATGAGGCCAACGACTGAATGGATGGGACGAAGATGTCCAGAGGTTGAAATGAGGGTGGTTGAAATGAGGGTGTTTGGTTCTTAGTAAGGAAGCAAATCTCTGGAATCAAATGGACCCCAAGATGCTCCCATTGAATGTGACCGACCATCTGCGATGGATAGAGCTTTAATTTTACAGCCAAGGTGAGCAGTGATGACAACTAGGAGAAAGGCTAGCTTAATACCTACATGAAGAAGGGAGGTGTGTCCTACAGGCTTGAATAGAGGGCCGGCCGAAAGTCGAAGAACATCACTCAGACTCCATGCAGGAACAAGCCGCCTGGTTGCGGAACATTCAATTAACATGCCTCAAGGAAGCTGATGAATCACAGGGTTGTTAGAGATAGAGGATCCATCAGGAAAACCACCATGGATAGCTGCCAGAGCCGAATGGTGGTTCCTGATTGTTGAAACCAGGAGGCCAGGCTTGGAGAGATGCATAAAGAGCTCCGTTACAAGGAAGAGTTGCTTCAGTTAGATTTGCATGGACCACCTCAGGCTGACGAGTCCACTCTGTCAGGCGAACCCTGCCCCAAGAGATTGCATCGGCCAGGTCATTCTGTATCCCGGGAATGTGTTCAGCAAGTACCACGTCAGAATGACGAATGGACCACTGAAGCAGATCCCAGGCAAGTAGTCAAAGGGTAGGCGAGCAAGTGCCTCCTTGGCCATTGATGTAGGTGACAGCCACAGCATTGTCTGATTAGACCCAAATTATCTTGCCTGTCAGGAGCGGCCAGAAATGACGAAGAGTGTTAAAGATCGCATGGAGCTCGAGAACGTTTATATGGGAGTCCTGCAAAGTTGGTTCCCATTGGCCAGAAATTTGACACAGCAGACACTATGAATTTCCACTCAGTTAAAATGTAGTTTCTCGGTTAAAACTGGCGTATGCCGTCTGATCACTCAATTTAACCGTGTCCCTCGCATGAACAGGGCTGGAGGAGGGGTTCTTGTATGCCTGAGAAAGGGGTTCCATGTTCGTCGACATGAGATATCAGTTTATGATGCCTTTGAACACATCGACTTGTCCATTAACTCGCCTTCTAATGAACGTCTCCGTCTCATAGTTGTGCACAGACCTCAGAGATTGCTCAACAAAAAGCCCACAGCTACACTCTTCATGCAAGAATTTTCCACATTGCTGGAACACATTGTTCATGATGCCAGTCGTATCATGATAGCAGGAGATTTCAATTTCCATATTGACAATCGATCTGACAGAGAGGCGTCAACATTTTGTGACCTCCTTGAATCTACAGGACTGAAACGGCGCGTATCTGGCCCAACACATCGTGAGGGTCATACACTGGATCTTCTCTTAACAAGATCTTCGGACTCTTTATCTCCCACTTGACCATAAGTAATTATATGCCATCTGATCATGCCTGTGTCATCTGTAAGTTAAGCATTGGTCGCCCCGCTGCAGCTAACGTGAATGTCCAGACACGGAAACTCCGTGACATTAACTTAGATGCATTCCGTGGGGATATTTTGAATTCTCCAATGTGCTCATCACCTTCCACAGATCTTGACACATTGGTTACTCAGTATGAGCAGAGTCTTGGAGATTTGCTTGATCAGCATGCACCGCAACAAAAAGGTCACATAAGAGCCCGTCCTCATGCGCCCTGGTTTAGCAATGACATCCGTTCAGCCAAGCGTGAGCTGCGTCGTCATGAAAGGCGTTGGAAATCCATAGGCAGATTTTCAAAGAGCAGAGTCGTCGCTATACCCAGCAGATATCTGCTGCAAAATCTAACTATCATAAAAGCCAACTGGAAAACTGCGACTCCAAGCGCCTGTTTCAGATTATCAACAAAATGTTTGTGCCAACATCATCATTGCAAATTCTCCCCTCTGACTCGTCGTCTGAACTGTTAGCTGGTAACTTTGCAAACTTTTTCTCAGAGAAAATCAAAGGTCTGAGAAATAAACTTGACAACTCAGATACGGACTGCGCTCCTGTCCATGATTCTAGTCCTAGTGCATCATTTTGCCAATTCAGGGCATTGACTGAGAATACAGTGAGGCAACTTATCATGAGCTCCAAATCCAAATCATATGGTCTTGATCCAATACCTACCTGGCTGCTGAAGCACTGCATAGATGAGATCACGCCAACCGTAACCAACATCATCAACTTGAGTTTCAACAATGGCTGTTTCCCCAATGCATTAAAGTTTGCCAACATCACATCGCTTATCAAGAAACAGAATCTTGATCCTGACAACCTGAAGAACTATCAACCAATCGCCAATCTGTCTTTCCTCTGGAAAACCATTGAGCGTGCAGCAGCCTCACAAATACAGTGTCATCTCGCTACTCACAATCTCACAGGTAAAATGCAGTCAGCCTATCATAAATATCGTAGTGTGGAAACGGCTCTTCTGCGTGTTTACAATGATTTGCTATTGGCTGTTGATGAGGGTCGAGAGGCCGTTCTTGTGCTGCTTGATTATTTGGCAGCCTTTGACACAATTGATCATCATGTCCTGCTACAACGCTTACATCACCGCTTTGGCATCAACGACTCTGCCTTGGAATGGTTCACTTCATATTTTGCAAACCGTCAACAATCTGTGCTAATCAATAAAATTTCATCTCCCTCCCATCATGTTAATACCGGAGTGCCACAGGGATCTGTCCTAGGTCCACTATGCTTCACAATGTACACATCCCCACTGGAAGATCTCATCGCATCATACGGCGTCAGCGGCATGATCTACGCTGACGATATTCAACTCTACGTCACCATGACAGAGCAGCAGCGTCCTGACGTCATTCAGCGACTAGAGTCATGCCTCTCATACATACAATCTTGGTCCACTGCCAATAAACTCAACTTGAATAGCGACAAAACTGAAGTCATCGATATCACCTCTCAGTTTAAGCACCATACTCCAATTGAAAGTCTTCGCATCTCTGACTGCTGCATCAGACCTGTCACCTGCGCCCGTGACCTTGGAACCATCATCACGTCAAATCTCCGAATGCAAACCCAGGTCAACAACATATTCCACTCTTCTT